CTCTTCAATAATTCCTTCTTCGATTTCAGTCATTTCTCTCTCAAGTACTTTAATAGTGTTTTTTTTTTACAAGTCTATTTGAGTAAGCTGTATAGTCCTGGCAAAAAAATCTTATTTGTGCTTTTCCAACCTCCCACCATTGCACCAAATCCTCATAGTCACTTTTTTGTTCTTGCCATTTAGACCAAAATAACCAAAACTTTTCACAAAATACAGAATCATGTAATAATTTCAGATTAAAATGCCAATAATAACTAGAATGCTGTGACTTTTTGAAACTCATTTCAATTATGCATAAATGATGATCAGTAAAACCATTTGGAAAAATATTAGCTTTTAAAACTCCATTAGAATTAGGTTTACTTATATAAAACCTATCCAACCTTGCAGCACTAATATGATCATGAGAGGCTTTGACCCATGTATATTCCTTCACTGTTGGGTGTTTCACCCTCCATGCATCAAATAAATCATATTTTCTTATAATACTGCCTAATGAATTAGCAGACTGGGGATGAGGTTCTGCACTATTTCGGTCTAGTGTAAAATCTAAAGTACAATTTCAGTCTCCCCCAAGAACCATACATACATTATCAAAACAAATTTTATTCACTAGATCATTTTATAAAAAAAAAATCTACTCTTTCTGCTCCATTATTTGGTGAATAAACATGAAAATAAAAGAAAACCCCATTAGCTCTACCTGTACAATTAAAATTCTGCCCTTAACTATCTCATAAGAAGATATATTAGTCATATTAAGCTTTTTGGAAAACAAAATTGCAACACCTCCACTTAGATTAGAGCCATGACTTAGAAAGATCTTACCCTCCCACCACATTTTCCATTCTATTTCATTACTTAAATCGCTATGGGTTTCTTGCAAAAAAAAATTATATCCACATGTTTATTTTGAATCAATTCATATAAAGCGGTTCTTTTTCTATAATTCCTTCCGCCATTAATATTAATTGTCCCCATCTTTAAGCTCTCCATAAAAAGAGAAATAATAGAAAGACAAACAAGTAGAAAAAAACAGAAAGAAAGAAGCACCCCTTGTGACTTAACCATTACTTGTATTACTTTTTAACCCATTTATTTCCTTTTCGTAATTTTGTCAGAATTTTTTTTCAGTCTAAATCTTTTCCTTCTATTCAATTCTTCAAATCCTACACTCTTCTGTATTTTAACTGCGATCTCAAATCTTTCAACATCAAGAAAAAGTTGACATCAAAAGTCTTTCCAAAAGTTTCATCCAGGAAGTCATTAATTTCTTTCACTGTATATAACTGATCATCACCACTCTGAGAAATAATGTCAGACATTTCTGAAAGACTATCATCATCATCATCCATCTCCTCCTTTTCATCATCTCTATCAACAACCTCAGCAGTACCTTTATGATAATTACCGTTTCCATTTTCATCTTCACATTGAGGAGCATTTACTTTAGCTTCCTCAACTCTCTCACTTCCAGTATCACAATTTTTTACATTCGTTTCTTCACAGCTTTCATCCTGATTATTCTGCGTTTCATTCCTTTCAGTTCCATCTAAATTATTTCCTGTGCCATCTTTCCCCCCCATCATTCTCTTTCGAACCCACTCAGCCCTGCTATTTCATTTGACCCACTCGGCCCTGCCGTTTCTTTTTCCAACTCATTATTTTCAGTGTTCATTTTATGAGGGCACGCATTTTTTGTGTCCTTTTTCACCGCATTCAAAACACTTTAAACGTCCAGTACTTGCATAAAGCATACAGGACTTGCCTTCGTACAGGACTCGAAAAGAAATGTCAAGAACCGTTGAATCTAAAAGCAAACACTTGACATCTAAAAGACGTAACATGTTTCAGTGACTCGTTTTTACATCCTAGTGGAACCATCTTAATTCCACTAGCAATTTTTCCAAATCTCAACAATTCCTTTTCAATATCATGATTTGGTGTGAAAGGGGACAATTCGAGATTGTTATACGGCTCGATTGAGTCACCAGCGGAGAAATTACAGTAAAAACGCCACTCACCCAAATGCCGCTCTCAACCAACCGACTGGTTAAGTTCCGTTCCTTTAGAAAGATCACGACAGCCTTATTCATCCGTGAAACTGAAACAATGTTGCTATACTTCACCTGTTCGCCTATTGCCACGAGCACTTCCTCGACTGAGATGCCAGCCTCAGGTACACATCTATCCCCATGACGACGTGAGAGAAAGGAGTCACACCCGCTCAGGTGAGCCTCCATCTCAAACACCCTGTAATGGAGGCGAAGAGACGAGGGACATGCGCATCCATTTGCAGGCTTTTATTAAACAGAGACGTGGTCATAAGAGGCATGGGTCAAACAGTGGCAAACAGGTACATTTCAGGCAAGACAAAGAGTATTCCTAGGGCAAGCGTGGGTCTACGATCGGCGAACAATATCCAGAGGGCTTGACACAAGGGTTTATCCACTAACACAAGCAATAGTCCAGGCAAGGTGCAAACACAGTCCGAAACAGCAGGCAAAGAGTTAATCCAAGATACACAGGCACAAGATCAGGAAACAGACAACAAGGCAACACAAAATGACTAGACTTAGACTAGAACTAGAAACGGAAACTTGGAATGGCTCCGTAATGTAGCTATCGCTAGAAGCGTGATATACTCTAAACAATACTCAGCAGAGAGAGCAAGTGATGCAATGCTACATTTCTACAAATCTGATGAAGAAACTAACTCATCTACACCTTGAACGGCTTGAGGGTGAGCACTTTTTCAGCATTTTTTTTTTTTTTTGGTGAGTTATTCCTTTATCTATTCTCTTTAAACTCTCTGTCATGACTGCAAGAAGGTCTGAAAGAGAACTAACAGTAGATGAAGATGGGTTAAATGCTAATGTCTTTGATACACTTTGATACATTTCCTAACGCAATGGCAAAGCTTGCAGCTAGAAGCTTTTGCATTCACATAGGCAAAACATGAGTAGTGAAAATGCACCAACTAAGAAACAAACAAACAATTAAACAAAAAAAAATCAACAGATAAATGCATTGAATATTTTTAATACTATATTAAACATTATGTATTAATTCGTGTCACATTTGGAGCCCCTTACAGCTCTATTTCAGTAGAGATGCAGAGTCAAAACAGTTATACTTTTTACAGCTAGAGAAATAAGAAATGAGACTGGAAAATGACATTTAACTGAGCACAATCCCTTCTGCTCCTGTAAAGGCACATATAGTGCTATATTCACCATACTAGCCTGATTAAACCTTATTAAAAAGCAATATTCACTCAAGAGAGCCAAAAATTCCCAGCTAGATCCAAAACCACAGGGTAGAGGTTTTCTTGGCTTGGACGCAGAACTGTGTATTGTGGAGGTTTGTGCATCAGGCAGCCTACGCTTTGCGAGATATTTCTCCTGCAGACAGTATGCATGGAGGACAGAAGGTGCCCTACGGGAGGAAGGTCAGTGAAGACTGGCAAGCCTTCTGTCAGCGTGCCGCACTGCTCAAACAGCACACTATCACACCTTCAGAGACCAAAGACACACTGTAACAAATGCTAATAGTTGCTGTTTTTTATGGGAATTTCTTTTAGTTGTAGTTAAAGGACAGTACATGCTTTGATTTGTGATGATATCTGTGCCTTTCTTGTTTAAAGCCTGTACTATTATAAAAACGGTATTTATGATCAAACTTCAGATACATGATGACAAAAACAAACAAACAAACAAAATACAACAACATGTCAGATCGAGGTCAGGTGACCAGCCTTATTATACAAGGCTTTCTTAGTACTGGTTAATCTTTCTCAGACTAGTTGATTTTGAAAATATTTAGTAGCACACATCCCTAGTTACCACACAAATGACATAACCTGCATTGATTTCTGAGTTCAAGTTTGAATACAGCTAAACCTTGGCATAATTGATATTGTGTACAGTGCACATCAAGTACAGACCCAATCTAATAGAAGGAAGACAAGTGGCTCTTGTGTTTTTCCAGTGTCGGTTGTGGGTGTGAAGCATGCTGGGGCATAATATCATCCGAGCTGCAGACTCACAGCATAATCAGACGCTTATATATAAATAGAAACGCTGTCTGTCTGAGTGCAGGGGAGGACGCATTGCTGTGGCTCTTCCTGAGGAGTCTCTGTTCTCCAGACCATTTTGGCAGCTCGTCTTGTGCGTTTGTGAGTTGTTATTTAAGTAGTGAAAGGGTCAAAATCAATCATTTCATTTACATGCACATTAATTCAGATTAATATCGGAATATCATCATATTCTGATCACCCAAGTGCTGTGACTCTATTACTATTCTCCAGTTAAGCCAATATTCCAGTTTCGTTTAGAAATGTAACTGTTGGTAAAAAGGTAAACATCTTTTTGCCAATAATTAATATTCAATTATGTATCCATACAAAAGCCTTGCTACATGATGCAGGCAATTTCTGACAGACAGATTTGGACTATGCGCATTTAGAGAAATATATATTGCAATGGAGCAAGTAAGCATATTTATCTGAATAATGGCCTTAATGAACATAATATACATTTTGTTTTGATGAGGAACAGAACAACATTGTGGTTATTTGCTGAAAGTCTGATGTCTCATATCATTATTGGGTACTAGACTTTTGAGAACCACTGACAGCTCTCATCACTGACTTCAGACCTTTTAAATCTGAATATATAAATATTTTGCAAAGCAATTGGTTCAATGAATTCAAAGTTTAGCATAGGTTTATTTCTCCCATCACTAGTTTGAGCTTCAGGAAGATTAATATCAGGCTTATATGTGATTTTATGACATAAATGCTTATTTCACAAACCCAACTTGTCTAACTTATCTATTTTCTTTTCCCCCCCCCCCCCCTTGGTTTTGACTGGTCCTGCACCCATTTGATTGTTTTAGGGATGTCTATTTTTATATTTAGCTGTTCTATATTTTATATGTAATTGTTCTATCACGTGAAACCATTGTGAAATCTGTGATCTCTGAATGGTGTTTTTCAGTCATGGCACCAGGTGTGCTGGAGAGGTGTCTGCGGTTTTAAACAACAACATCTGTGGGGTGGGCGTGGCCTACAACTCCAAGGTAGCAGGTATGTTTCTGACAGTGATGACCTCATAATAACTTTAATGTTCCTAACAAATCTCTGAATGGTGTTTTTCAGTCATGGCACCAGGTGTGCTGGAGAGGTGTCTGCGGTTTCAAACAACAACATCTGTGGGGTGGGCGTGGCCTACAACTCCAAGGTAGCAGGTATGTTTCTGACAGTGATGACCTCATAATAACTTTAATGTTCCTAACATCAGCGTCTCATTTGAGATGTCAAGCGACTCGTCTTGAAAGTCGATCAGAGTAGGCGTCACAGTCAAGGGAGGAACCCGAAAAGCGCTGTCAAGTTAGACAATAATCACTTGTCATAGTACCCAGCTGATAAAATTTCAGTGGATGCAGTTCAAATAGTGCTGCTTTTATTCTTATCATTTAATTTCCCCCAAAAAATCTGTCCCGATCTGTTTTTCATCCATTTTAGATTTCAGAAAAAACACATATCCTACACTGTGTGTACACAGACATTATTCACTCATATATATTACTGATATTAAAGTGCTAAAAATGTAGTCAAAGTGTCACAGCTGTTGTAAAGATATTCTGTGTCATTGTGCTTTTGTTTTGTAATGTGGACTTGTAGTTTGTAGTCATGTTTCAGTTTCCTGTTCCCCTCGGTAACCCCTGATCATTTGCACCTGTTAAGTCTTTTTACACTGTGTATATAATGGTGCGTTCAAGTCATGTCGGATAGATCGTATTTACGAGTTGATAACGACACAAAGTCGTTATTACGAGTGGGGAAACTCGAAATTTTCTTTAAGCCCAGAGTTTCCGAGTTGGGGGCGTGTCTGTTACGGGGCTGACAAGACGTGAGACGTGTGGATCCATGTGCAAGCTTTATTCTAAACAAAAGACAGAGACGTGGTCATAACAGGCAGGGTCGAACAAAGGCAAACAGGTATATGGCGAGCAAAACACAAGAATAGTCCTAGGGCTAGCGTAGGTCGACGATCGGCAGACAGAATCACAGGGGCGAGACTAGAGGTCTAGAATCCAGGGAGACAGGCAAAGATCAGAACCGAGAAAACCGACAAGGCAAAACAAGGAAACACGGGAAGGATAACAGGAACTAGGAAAACTAACAGGCTAAGCAATACTCGGCCGGGAATGGTAGTTTGAGTGAGTGTTATATAATGAGTGAGTGATGTGAAACAGCTGTGTGCAATCAGTGAAAACAGCTGTGTGCAATCCCGTGCTGAGTGCAATCAGTGCAATGAATGATGGGATATGTAGTCCGGGATGATAAGCAACAGTAGGTGTAGTGCGAGAGTCAATGTAATGGAAAGGGTGACCTCTGATGGTAAGCAGACGGAAGTTCATGGACCGGATGCGTGACAGTGTCAATGCGAAACATGTCAGAATCGATGGATGCAACGTCTGTAGTTGACGATAATTTTAGTTTAGTTGTCCTATAAACTTAAATTGGTCATGTTCTTGTTACGCAGCTAGTTAATGAAATCCAAGTAAAAGTAGCTTTTTTAATCTCTGTATTTTAGCGTTTGTTGATGCTGAAAATCAGTTATACTGGGATCCTGGTCTAAAAAAAAATATAAAAAATGCAAAACACACCTGATGCGAATTATTTGCTCTTCATTTTCTATAAGCAGAGTTAACAGACCCTGTTGTATTTTCTTGTAATTTATTAAAAGAAGGCACACCGCCATTTTGTGCCGACTAAACCGACTTGAACGCACTTGTCAACTCGTAAGTACGAACGTCCCACGAGGACTTGAACGCAGCATAAGCTTTCAGTGTTGCTAACTGAGCGACTTTAGGGGCTTTCGCACCGGAGGAACCTTTTTATAGTTCCTAGAACTATTGGCGGAAGTGTTTCGTATGCGTTTGGCCAATCAGCGTATACTTACGTCACTGATAGTTCCTATAGAACTGTTTTAGACCCTACTCTGAAGCAGGAGCTAATTTAGTTCCCCCAAACGGAGTTCCTAGAACTAAAACTGTTCCTAGTTTCGATTTTGTGCTTTATGTACTGGCGATTGGATTATTAGGCTCACTTCCATCAGCATGACATCACAACAACTGTTTCTTTGCAGAATCTGCTTCTCATACAAACCTAATAACACCAAGAACATATATTCCGTTGCACATGGGGCAGGCAAATTCAGCATGCAATTCAATTCATGTTCATTTGTATAGCGCTTTTTTTAGATGCATAATGTAAGCTTTACAGAAATGTTACAATATACAGTATACAGTATGTTTCAAGTGTTACAATCAAGAAGCAGATTCCATTCAGAAACCATATTCACCTTAACATGTTTGGTGCTATCAAGACAGGGTTTTATTTAAAATACTTGTACGCTTTATCAGGTTTGTTCTGTGCAGTCAGTAAAATGATGAATGACTTGTCTCCTTTTGAGACATCGCTTTGTTTCTTAGCCTAATGGAATATCAGCTCAATTGATCATTTCTACCCTTCTCCTCTTCCACAACATCCAGCAGCCAGCACCAACAGCAGTATCAATAAAAACATCATTTGCGCTCTGCAGCACATTGATTTTTTTTCTTTTCAAAAGGCCACAAAAGAAAAGGAGAGTAACTAGTAGCCAGTGAATGTCTTTTGTCCCTCACAAAGGGACACACACATGACTCTAGCTTTACCTCTTCAACTCACAGAAGGTTTTCTCAGTATGATGAGTTTCAGTCTAACAGCCGCCGGTGTCTCATGACACACAGCAGTGATATTCCTGGAGTGCCTTCATACATGGATTTAATCTTAGACGTGCAGTATATACTGATAAGTGTATATAGAAAACACTGTATGCAAGTAAACAGAAAAGTGTAAGTATATTTCTGTCATGACAACTCTTGGAGGGACTGGCATGGTAATGTACATGACAATGTTAATGTATTTGGTCTTGGTGGAATAGATCGGCTTCGCCTGCTGCTGCTGCTGCGGCAGAGCAAGTACCGAGACTTGCTACTGCCAATACATCCACAAATTGCTGCTGTGAGCATGTAAGAAATACTGCTGCTGCAAATATAACCTACATGAAATAACCCCCATATAGCATACATGAATCACCCCGTAGCAGATCTATACAGGTGGAGCTGGGGAAGGTGGAGGGTTTCTGAAGCAAGCTGCAACTGCTACAGCAAACACTAGTCATATATTTGAATGTTGAGCAGCGAGCTCATTGGCTACCGATACAGGAGAGAACCTATCAGCTGTGCCATGTGATAATGATGTCATTAGGTCAGATAGAGTTAGACCCATCAGACTGCGCTATCTGGAGAGCAGAAGTTTTGATACTTCTGTCTCAGTGAGGGGACAGAAGGAGAAGATGGGAGTTTTTGGAGTGGGTGGGTTTCATCTAGAGTTTCATGCCAGAACTCTGTATTTAGCCTGTACTAGTATTCAATCTTTTGATCAAGATTACATTTATGCTTGCAGTAAAAAACTACTGAACTACTGTACTACTTTCATAGACAAAAAAATAAGTTATAAGTATATAACTAGTTAATTAACTGTATACCAATAAGTTTATTTGAAGTAAACTTTTAGGAGTAAAGAAAAAGTTAGATGTAAACTAGTTATGCATATACTCAAAGTTTACTACTGTTACATTTAAAAGCATACTTTTATAAGCTAAAAAGTTGGTCAGTTTTCCAGAGAAATCTTGAAATAGTACACATACATGTATACTACTAGTGAACTGATATTAGTATATGTTCTACTACTATTCTGTGCTTAGAATATTTACTATTAATATAGTTAATACTGTACATAAAGTATGCTTGAAAATACTAGAGAATAGTGTGAGTAGTGTGTTCACACTGAAAATTTGAAAAAGAAAAAGTGCACTTAAAAGGGTCATATGATGCTGCTAAAAAGAATATTATTTTGTGTATTTGGTGTAATGAAATGTGTTTCTGCGGTTTAAGGTTAAAAAAACACATTATTTTCCATATACTGTACATTATTGTTTCTTCTCTATGCCCCGCCTTTCTGAAACACGTCGATTTTTACAAAGCTCATCGGTCAAAAAAAATGAGGTGTGCTCTGATTGGCCAGCTATCCAGTGCGTTGTGATTGGCCGAATTCCTCAAGCGTGTGACGGAAATGTTACGTGACCAGCACGGATCAGCTCCAGGCATGACAAAGCGATATCATCCTCTTTTGGAAGGCCAAACAAAGTAGTTTCGCTTTCACAACGAAGCACACAGCTCCTTCACGACATGGCGGCGGCGGCAACAATACTACAGCCAGAATAAAAGTTACGCCTTCTTTCTTTGCGTGAACATTTGGGCAGCGTTATGCAAACCTTCCCAGATAGTGACGTAGATATGTGGGGGCGTGTTAGAACGAGCCGTTTTAGGTAGGCGTGGCTGACTCTTAACTTTTATAAAGAATATCTCTTTGGATTTGAGACTTTAGTCTTTGCAACTTTACAGATCTTCTTTATGCACCAAGAGCTTGTAACACTCCAAAGAGAAAGGAAAAATTGAAATCGCATCATATGACCCCTTTAAAATACCCAGATGATGCACTTAATTAACCTAAACAACGAAGTGTGTAATGTTGGACACTTCATGTACTGAACTGTTGCAGCTTTAATTACGTAGCGAAGGGGTAGGGGCTATCAGACTCCGATTATGCATAGTGCATGAGTACATAGTGTACTGTATATGTGTATAGTGTAGAGTGCATCATTTGGGATGCAACTTTGAACTTTACTTACATTTTCTTAATAAAATTAACTTTTTTTTTTTACTTTTTTTATTCCACCTTGAAGCTGACTTGAACCTTGAAGTTACTCTGAACTTTAACACAGAGGTTTATCAGATAGATTTTAAAACACATGCTATCTCAAAAAAGCTAATATGTATGAATAAAATGGGCTACTCTATTAAAATATTAAACACAACTATAAGCCAAATATACTTAGAATACTAAATTATACTTTAAGTATATGCCAATCAATAGATTAATACAACTATAGGCCAAGTGTACTTAGACTTTTCGGTATACTTGCTAGCATTAAGGCAAGTTTACTTACGGCATGGCTCGGTTTGCATTTCCACTGCAGTTTAGTACCGCTTTAGTGTGGGAGGGATTATTCACATGTCATTATAGTTGCACCGCCTCTACTGCCACGAGTCCTGAAAAACTTTTTCATTCCGCGTCGCCCCATCAAGCTCTCGCTGGATCCGCTCCTCTGCTATCAAGGAGAGGAATGTCTGTACTTCCTCAACAGACAATGAAAGAGCCA